CAGCGAAATGGCTGGTACGAATTTTCCAACCTGGTGGTGGTGCCACTGTACCGTATCGATGTTGGAAGAAAAAAAAACATTTTGTGATAAAAAATTTTGACATAACGTATATATATATTATAAGTATCCCATGTACGATAATGTCCATCTATTATCCATCATTTACGACAAATTATTATAATAATATATTATAAATTATATATTATTAAATATATATATATATATATACAATAATTATATACATTTAATTTTTAAATTATATAGATATAATTAATTGTTATTTTATAATATATTTTATAATATATTAAAATACAAATTTTTGCATTTATAATAAAATTTTATATATTATTTTATAATATATATAATTTTTAATTATTTTTTAATTTATATATACATTTATTTATTTATTTATCTAAAAATATAATTATTATAATTAAATACTATATATAATTATATATTTAATAATATATATATATATATAATTTATATTTATATATTATATATTTAGTAATATATAAATTTTATATATACATATATTATGAAATTATAATAATAAATATTTATATTAATAACACCTATTAATAAATAAAATCGACGAAAAATCTTAAAAAGATTTAACATAGAAATTTTCTTCCTTTTTGTTTTTTGTTTTCCTAAACTCGTAAATAGTATTTTAAACGAATGGTCTACACTAAAAGGATATAAATTCTAACCGTAGAAATAATCCATGAACCAACTTTAAAATCAAAGATTCAAGAAGGAGGAAGGGGGTCGAGGAGGAGGAGGAGAGGGTGGAGGTTTGCGTTCTGTTTATACGACCATAAATCGTGGTTTCCTTACACGAATGCTTTAGATATCCTGCAAAAAGTATTAAACAAAGTATAGAAAAGCAAAACAAGGCAAAACGAAGTATAGGATATCATTAGGGCAGATTTAAAAGTAAATAAAAGGAGTAGTATAAATTGTCTTATATATGTACGTACACCTACACATACTTATAATAATATATATATATATATAGATATACTTTCAAATTTTTTGCTGATAAAAAAAAGAAATCGATAAATGTATAATACTCTTTTCTTCCTTCATTCTTTTTGTCTTTTTTTCTTTTAGGTTAACGACTCCAAACGATTTCACACGATTTAGAAATTCCCTACCATTTTGTTTCTTTCACGAATGGTGGCTATTCTTTTTAGCATTAGTGTGTTATTCTTCAGGCCGACTAGGATTATCAGAGTAAGAAGAAAGTAGCGTCGTATTTTACGGAATCCTTCCATTCCTTCTTTTCTTTCTTCCTTCCTACCTCCCTTCCTTCCTTCCTTCCTTCCTTCCTTCTTTCTCAATGGAATTCTCCAACCCCCACTACCACTACTACTACCCCTCATTTTCCCTTACCATTCCCCTTTATACTTGGTAGCAACCACTTGCTTGTATTACGAATCTCAGTTCCTATTACTTACCAGTACATTAACATAGTACATCATTAGCATTCCCTCGGATCTCGCGTTTGCAGTTCGGTGAGTCCGACAAAATCGCAGTTTATATCCTTTTGCTTCTCTTATTTTATACTTGCTTCGTCGCATCGAAAGAAAGAAAGAAAGGAAGAAAGAAAGAAGAACTATTATGCTACAAGAGAAAACAGTAGTAAGAAAGAAACGTTAGGGGAAGTAGATTGGTTCTTGCTACGTTGGATTATCCACCCACGGGGGTTGTGATCAAAACAACAAAATTCTTTTTTTCTTTCTTTCTTTCTTATTTTTATCTCTTTTTTTTTACGACTTTTTCGTCTTCTTGAATTTATAAAAGCTTTATAAACTATCCCATTATTATTATTATTATTATTATTAATATTAGTAATAGTAGCAGTGCTATTCTATTATTGCTGGTATCTTTTTAAATGATTTTCCTATACGTAAATACCTGTTGTTATTTTTTTTTTGTAGATTTGGAAACAGAACTTTAACTTTTATTTTTTATATTATCTTGTCCTTTTTTTTTCTTCTCGAATATAAAAAAGGTTTATAAAATACCCTACTATTATAATAATAATAATTATTATTATTAGTACTATTGTACTATAACTACTACTGTTGGTATCTTTTTAAACGATTTTCCTATACGTAAATACCTGCTGTTATTTGTTAATTTTTTTTTTTTTTTTAGATTTAGAAACAGAATTTCTATAGTCTTCTACAATAGTAGGTATCATTGGGAAAAGCTGCTAACACAGTAGAAAAAGATAATCGATAGAATGGTAAAACGATGCTATTTTTTTTATTTTTTTTCTTATTATTCGTTCTATTTATTTCCGTGGTGTATTATTATTCGAACAAATGATTTATAAAGTATAAAGATGAAAGAAAGAAAGAAATAAATAAGGAAGAAAGGAAGGAAAGAAAAGGGGATTGGAAAAATATACAAAA